GAGCATCGAAGGGCACAAGACAGACCTACAGGTCTGGAAAACTAAGGTTGGACCTTCCAGAGATCCCTTTCAACCATGCATGGTACAAAGCACAAGCCAAGTCCTCCCCTCCGAGGACACGGGAAGGTAAAGTGTGCCAAACTCTGGCAGCCATCAAGCATTCCAGTCCCCTTCCTGGCAGCCCGACCTACCGGTCATGTTCTCATCCAGGGGCAGGGACATTCCCACATCACAGATCTTGATGGTTTCAAAGTCACCTTTAATGACCACATTTGTAGACTTGATATCTCCGTGGAGCAGCTTCTTATCATTGTGAAGATACTAAGAGGCAGAGGAGCTGTTAATACCCGCTTACAGATGCAGGAGCATTTGGGCAAGAAAGCACAAACTTCTTAACATTTAACTATTTAGCCTTAAAACCTTGAGTATGGATCAACACCTACCTGTAGCTTGTACAAACCACAGGGCAGTTTGTTCCACCCAGCCTGGTTTTGGAGGCTTAGGGTTACCTTTTAGTAAAGTGCTCCTAGCAACAAGCTAGAACTGCAGAACCGTTGTGACTGGAAAAGACCTTTCAGATCATTGAGTCCAACTGTTACCCCAGCACTGCCAAGGCCCAGCTTTGAAATCCCCCCAGGGATGGGGACTCCACCACTGCCCTGGGCAGCCTGGGCCAGGGCCTGACAACCCTTTCCAGGAGGAAATTGTTCCCAGTGTCCAATCTAAACCCCCCCTGGCACAACTTGAGGCTGTATCTTCTTGTCCCATTGATTGTTCCTTGGGAGACAGACCTCCCCTGGCTCCAACCTTCTTTCAGGGGGTTGCAGAGCACCCCTGACGTCTCCCCTCAGTCTCATTTTCTCCAGGATGAATGCCTAAGTTCCCCCAGCTGCTCGTCACAAGACTTGTGCTGTTGAGAGCAGGGGTGAAGCACGAGCATGAGCTGATGGCCAAGCTCAGAGCTGTGTCTCCTTGGCAGCAAAGGACTCTGCCACAGCCAGGGAAGAACAAGCTTCACCCTGCTTGCTGACATAGCCATGGCAGGGCTCAGAAGCCATGCTGAGGTTTAGTCAGACCACTGAGTCTCTGTTGCCAAATTTCTTCCCTAAACGCAACCTCAGGGCAGCGGCTGCTGCAGCAGCTCCACAGAGGAGGCACCAAAGCGGCACCAGCTGGCAGCCTCGGGCATTGGCTCTCGGCTTCCATTGCCAGGACCAGCTTCCTGGAGCTGCCCGGCCCAGCAATGAGGATGCAGGAGCCAGCAGACAGCCTCCCTGCTGGCTAGCAAGCAGGGACAGCAGGTAGCCCCAGGGGAAGGCAGCAGGACATTGCTGACAAAAAACGTTGCATTTCCTTTTATATCGTGGGTGTCGGTCTCATCTTCCCAAGCAATAAGTAACAGGACAAGAGGAAATGGCCTCAAGTTGTGCTAGGGGAGGTTTAGCTTGGATACTGAGAACAAGTTCTACATGGAAAGAGTCGTCAGGCCCTGGCCCAGGATGCCCAGTGCAGTGGTGGAGTCCCCATCCCTGGGGGGATTTCAAAGCCATGTAGCTGAGGTGCTGAGGGACATGGTTTAGTGGTGGCCTTGGCAGTGCTGGGGTAACACTTTGACTGGATAATCCTAAAGGTCTTTTCCAACCAAAACAAGGATCTGATTCTATTCTGTAATTCTGTATTACTTCAGTCTCAAGCTTCAGGGCTCAGTTTTCACCTGACTCTATCTACCCGGTTAAAAAAAAACACCAAGGCCTTAAACAAAGGGTCCCAGCATCTGCTCCCTGCCATGCCTGGCCTTCTCCCACACCAGATTCCTTGATTTTCTCTATACAATTCCACCCAGCACAGCTTTGGCTTAACATTAACCTTACCTTCAGACCCCTGGCCATGCTCAAGGCGACTTTGAAAATTGTGGCAGCAGGGAACGGGCCCAACCGCTTGGCTCTTCTTTCTTCAAGTAAGTCAGTGAGGGATTTTTCTCCTCCGTACTCCATGGCCAAGCACATGCTTCCATCATTGGCTTCTGTAAATGCACGATAACCTTCCAAAAAAACACAGATGTGTTAGAGATATGAAGCAGGCACCAGCATTTCTGCCTTCCTGCCAGCCCAACAGAGCCAAAGCGTTTGGGGCTGCAACCCAAGTGAGCTCCTGGTGGTTCCAATCAACTCCAAAGAAATTCCTATCCCAGGGGGGCCTGGCTGGTGGCTTTCCATAATGAGGTGAAGGCACAGGAATGTCCCTGGAGACCTGCAAGGGCACACGGCATAAATCCTGTTGAGGTAAAGAAGATGCCTCCTCCAGGAGAGCCCACAGACACCCGCATTGTTTATTCCCAGGTTAGCTTTGTGCCCTGGGATGTTGGTTATTAATTAAGTAAAATTTTTTGGGAAAAAAAATAGCATTTGGGGAAAAAAAAAAGTCACACAAAGAGAACAAAAGAGACATGCAGAATAAATATAGAGCTTAAATAAGAGTGAAACTGCAAGAATGAGAGAAAAACACATCCCAAGCAATCAAGAGCCTGTCCTTGAGACAGGCCTGCAAGACAGATGAAAGGGATAGAAGGGAATGCTCTCCATAACTCATCTCAGTTGTAGCTTTCAGCATGGAATACAAACACCTGGATTCACAGTATTAGCAAGATATTAACATATTAATGAGCTATTAGCGTACTAATATCCACCCACAGGCTAGAGGGACCACTACTACGAAAAAGCCCCCTACTCTTTTAAGCTCTGTCACTTTAAATGGAAGTGAGGAACTAGTTACCCAATCATGTACGTGAGTGATAGAATATAATTAGAGATAAAGTTATTTTTCACATTTCTGGGTATAAAAATAGCACTTGCATTTCAGGAAATAGAGTCAGCTTTGTGGAATCTCCCCCCGCTCCCTTTTCTGCACAGAACTGGAAATGAAAGCAAATTATCTCAGCCCTGCCTGTGGGTCAGCTTATTTGGGTGACAGACCCCACTTTTTGGGACAACACCCCCGCTGGTGATGTCAAAATCTGTGAAGGATTTAGTTAAAATGAGATAGGTTTAAATAAGTAATTGACAAATTTATTGCTTGACTGCTTAAGAGTAATTTGAGGCTAAACAGTATGATAGGGGAACATCTGGACACCAGAAATAGGACCCTTGAATTAAGTTGGGCATTCAGCCCAAGGAACCATATAGAACCGTTTAGGTCAGCCAGGATAGTGTCCCTGGAGTGAATTTTGCTGATTACAATATGAAACCCCTCCTCCAGAAGTTCAGACACCCACCTCTGCTTGAAGACCCCCTACCCACTGAGTCTGTGCAGCAGAATAAAAATGTACTTTATCTTGAAATCAAGACTGAGAAAATCTCCAGCAAGAGTGTGCAAGTATCAGAGGGTGATTACCAATGACAGACTGATTATTTCATATGTTCATAGATGGATTATAATGATTACAAACATTGTAACATTTCTTCCTCCCCGTTTCACTCTTGTCTTTGAACAATACTCTCCAGGTGGACTTAGAAAACTCTTGCATAATGGCCTAGCAAAAAAAGTCTAATCCTGGAAATTACTTATGGCACCTTTAGCAAAAAAAAATAAAATACAAATGTTTTCACTCTGAAAGGTTGAAACTATCTTTGCTGTTTGATTCCTGCCAGAAGCCAGACATGCCATTTTAGGGACACAAACCAAGTGCTTTGCCTGCAGCAGTTTCCCCATACAAGTGACAAAGCTGAGATAGTTTAAAGCACAAATAAAAAGAGAAAGCCAAACAAAGTTGCCAGTCTGACTGGCAGGAGATTTTAGACAAGATAAGAGCAGAAATTAAACACCAAAGCAGCTGCTCAAAATATTCCTGCCACTGAGAGCCAAGAGCATAACAGAGCCTTGATTGTCCCTCAGACAGATGTGTCATTAGGGCAGGACCTGGAGCCTCATTCCACCATCTCAAGTATCACTAAGGTATGGCCCACCCTCTGTGTTGTTGTGGTGGCCTCTCCCTTCCCTGAGGTCATAAGGTGAAGTTGTGGTACCAAGGCAGCTCTGGGATGGGTGGTGGTTTCTCTATAACCAGCTCATGGATCTCCACATGCTGGAGCTGCTCCACAGCACAAAGGTGTGAGACACCTCTCAGGTCCAGGGGCAGCAACAGCACTGGAGTCTCCCTGTGACTGCTTTTGTGGGTTAAGGCACACAGATAGCCACCTCTCAGTGACTGACACTGATCTCAACAGGGACCACGAGGCACCAAGGGGTGTCTTCTGTCACCAACAGGCAGCCCAGCACCATTTCTATGTCCCCATCACACAGGGCAAGACTAACTTTGTGGAATCCATTGAATGGTTTGGGTGGAAAATGACATCTAGTCCAACCCCCTGCAGTAACCAGGGTCACCTCCCACCAGACCAGGTTGCTCCAAGCCCCATCCAACCTGCCCTTCAACACTGCCAGGGATGGGGCAGCCACAGATGCTCTGGGAAACCTGGGCCAGGGCCTCACCACCCTCACAGCAAAGAATTTCTTCCTCAGATCTCATCTCAATCTTCCCCCTTGCAGCTTGAAACTGTTCCCCCTCATCCCATCACTCCCTGTCCTTGTGAAAAGCCCCTCCCCAGCTTTCCTGTAGCCTCTCCAGGTACTGGAAGGTGCTCTAAGGTCTCCCCAGAGCCTTCTCTTCTCCAAGCTGAACAACCCAACTCTGTCAGCCTGTCTCCAGAGCAGAGCTGCTCCAGCCCTCAGAGCATCTCTGTGGCCTCCTCTGGACTCACTCCAACAGCTCCATGTCTGTTCCATGCTGAAGCCCTCAGAACTGGACACTTACCCACTATGTTGGGGTGCTGGAGGTTTTTCAAGATCTTGGCTTCTTCGTTCAGTCTCTGCTGATAGATGCTTTGCTGGCTGCTGTTGCATTTGGAACTAACTTTCTTCACTGCCCAAGGGGAGCAAGACAAGCCTCTGGGAGATCTGCATGGGAACAGCCACACGTCTGGGAACCACTCCGTGGACAAGCAGAGCTGTGGCTGAAGCTCACCAAGGAGCTACCCTGCAGAGTGCCTGCCTTTGATTTGTGGCATTAATAAAGAGCAATGCTAAAGTAAAATCCAGGCTGCTGATGTACACACTGCAGAGGTGCACAGGAATGCTGCACCCAGATACCTGGAATTTTTAAATTCAAATGAAGCACTCCCCCCTTGATTTTATTTTTTTTTAAATTAATTTCAAGTTCCTCCAAGGACTTTAGAAAAAGAGATTTGTATCAATTCTCAGTTTCAGGTGGAAGAGCAGAGGCTTGGGGAGGGAAGCAGCTTGCCCAGCAGAGCCAGGGATGGACCTCAAATGCCCAAATTCCAGGCCAGGAAAATGCTGTTATCCCAAAATGACAGGCTCCTTCCCAGCACCAACACTTCCAACACACACGGGACTGCTGGAAATCCCACACCCCTCCCCCAGCCCCGTGCCTGAAGGGCTGCAGGCAGCATCGGAAGGTCGGTGACAGCAGCGTTCCCTCAAAGCTCAACCACTTCCCATCCCTTACATTATTTTTGAGGAAAAGAGGCACTGAGCCCCAGTCCCGAGCCCTGCCTCCCATCCATGCTCCCACACGTACCTTTTCATCAAGTAGACGTTGACCCCGGTGCCATATCCGAGCTTCTGCATGAAGGGAGAGGCTGGAATAGTGACAGAAACCAGCCCCCCATCTACAAAGGAAAAAGAAAAACCCAGCCACATGCATGACCCCGTGCAGTTCAAACAACAGTGTCACACTAGGAGCTTCGCAGAATCATTGAATCCCAGACTGGTTTTGGTTAGAAGGGACCTTAAAGCTCACCCAGTCCCAACCCCTTGCCATGGGCAGGGACCCCTCCCACCAGCCCAGGTTGCTCCAAGCCCCATCCAACCTGCCCTTCAACACTGCCAGGGATGGGGCAGTCACAGCTGCTCTGGGCAACCTGGGCCAGGGTCTCACCACCCTCACAGCAAAGGATTTCTTCCTAAGATCTCATCTCAGTCTCCCCTCTTGTATCTTGAAATTGTTCCTCCTCATCCCATCACTCCCTGCCCTAGTCAAAAGTCCCTCCCCAGCTTTCCTGGAGCCCCTTCAGGTCCTAGAAGGTGCTCTAAGGTCTCCCAGGAGCCTTCTCTTCTCCAGGCTGAACAACCCCAACTCTCCCAGCCTGTCTCCAGAGCAGAGCTGCTCCAGCCCTCAGAACATCTCTGTGGCCTCCTCTGGACTCACTCCAAGAGCTCCATGTCCTTCCTCAAGTTGTGCCAAGGGAGCTTTAAATTGGATATTGGGAACAATGTCTTCCTGGAAAGGGTTGTCAGGCCCTGGCCCAGGCTGCCCAGGGCAGTGATGGAGTCCCCATCCCTGGAGGGATTTCAAAGCCATGTAGCTGTGGTGCTGAGGGACGTGGTTTAGTGGTGGCCTTGGCAGTGCTGGGTGATGGTTGGACTTGAGGATCTTAAGGGTCCTTCCAACCACAGTTCTCTGGTTGTGTTCTAAAGCTGTCCCTGCTACATGGGGTGGCCAAACACCAGCCTGCTGATGGGAGACAGGGCTCCACAACCACTGCCCCGCACAGGACACATGGCAAAGCCTTCAGCTCCTTCCCAGCCCCTCCAGAAATACTTAGGGCTCATGCCTGAAGGGAACTCACCAGGTTTCTTCTCCCTGGGGACCAGGTTCTTTGGAGACTTGAATGCTTCCATCGCTGCGAGCCGTGCAGATCTCTACAGCAGAGGGCAGAAGTTATAACATTCCCACCCCCAGGAATGCTGGAGGGAACCTCTCAGGAGGGCTGGGGAGGAGGAGCTGCAGGACCTCCAGCCCTAACACACCCAGGGACACCACAGATACCAAGGAAGTGGGTTGAAGGACATAAATGACAGGAATCCCAGCCGTCAGGACCTCCCAGCTGCTAATGTGGCTCATGGAGGGGGAGTGGAGCCCAAAATGGGTCTGGGGGTGGCTCTGAAGTAAGAGCCTGGGAACAGGGGTCCTAATGGAAGTGGGGAGTGATGGGGCACCAAGGGGAGGAGCCGGTGTGGGCAGGAAATGTCCCCCTTTGGGACAGGACCCTCAGTGCCCAGCACAGCGAGAGGGGGAGGCTGAGGGTCCCGAGTTTGGGGTGACGGGGGTGGGATCTGAGGATGGGAT